TACTTTCATATGGTGAAGATGTTTTCCCAAATTTAAGATCTGCATTGCCGGTTTTGTTAACAATTGGGGTTTATATTGCTAGTTGTGAAAGGTCCTTCAGCAAGCTGAAATCAATTCTTACATACTTGAGAACCTCAATGACTCAAGAACAAGTTAGTAACTTGGCAATATTAAGTGTTGAAAAATACGTATTTAATACCTTAAATTTTGATAGTTTAATTGATGCATTTGCAGCAGCAAAAGCACAAAAGGTTCATATAATGTAACCATGAGTACCAGAATGCTGTCTGTACAATATCTAGTTAAGTATATGTACAGTTTTGTAAACTAATAAAATTTGTTATTTGTAAACTTAAGTAGTATTTTATCAATCTGTTTTATAATCCATGTACACCACAAGTGACTGGCTTCTCATATAAAACATAAGTTTCAAAACTAGAGATATAACAGAAATTTATTCTGCATGCTTGAAAGATTACTCTAGCTGTGTGACTTTGAACTGAACAATATTGGATGACATATATATCAAAATGGTTTACAAATTATGTAAGTACACCTAGTAGTCTATACTTCATTAATTCCAGGTTTACAGTTGTGATATCATGAGTTGTTATATTGTGGCTTTATTTTAGGTCTGTGTAAGGCGGTAATTAATTCTTTATGTTATTGTCATTAAGTGGGTAATGAGCCACAAAACAAATAATCAAAACATTTCAGAGGTGGGGGCGCCAAAAGAACCCTTCCTACGGTACTAGATTGGTCACAGCAGGATTGGGTCGGTGCAAACCCCGAAGTTGTATTGCTGGAAAAATGATCGGTTATTGGTCACAAAATGTAAACTAATTATGCTTGAAGACACGAGGCAGGTTCCCACGTAGTGTGAGGACTTACATTTAGGCCACTGTAAATTTGAAGCCATGACATATACTCCTTCATCTACTTTACCGTCTTTGGCTTCGAAAGTCCCCTTGGCCTTACGACGACAGACCAGTATGGCTCAACATCTATCTAAAATTCTATTATCTCTATTCTTTCATTCCTTAGTAACCTTAACTGCCTTAATTACTGTAGGTGGGAAACTACTCTCTATTCTATTTCTCTAGAGTGTGCCGACATTTTGCTTCGTTGTTCAAACTACTTCTCTTCTCACTCGTCTCATCCATTAGAACCTCGGGTTATATGGGTTATATATATATATTTAATTTTAATTACATCTCTAGGAAGTTCAGTAATAATATTGTTGCGTCAGCGAGGTCATGTGACTAGTATCACGCCACCTATTTTCTATTAATATCCTGTTCCTTCGTGAATGTCCTAGCATTTACTAGATGGGCGGTAGCCTGGTATATATAAGATGGTCACAACGTGACGGGACAACAATGTGTAGTAGTGAGTAACTGAACTGAGTATTGTCGAGCACGAGCATGTGAGAATTATAGCGTTTGTTACAGAGCGACTGTTGAAGTTGAGTGTATCGTAAAGTTGTATTCGGAAAGAATAAACCAGTTTTATTTAAGAAAGGACTTGTGTCATTAAAGTTTCCTCGGAACGAATTTACGGAAAATTAATTAACAAACGGAGACGTAACAGCACCATCAGATTACCATCTTTTTCGTTCGCTGCAACACTATCTTAATGGGAAAATGTATGCAAATATGGAAAGTGTTAAAGAGGACATCGATATGTTTTTTGCTTCAAAGCCAAGTGATTTCTTTAATCAGGACATTAACAACCTGATTGTAAGATGGAAAAACAATATCGATAAGAATGGATACTATTTCATTTGATAAATATTTCGTTT